AAGCCATGCAATAATGTGAAATCCTTATGTGTATGTGTACGCCAGTTGATAGATTATTTTTTCTATCTATCCACGAAGACGCGAAAAACGCATACGTCATATTTTGTCGGTATACGTCGAATCGAGACTTTTTTCTGGGTCGTTCTATTTTTTTCTGTTGTCGAGAACTGATTCGCTCGGCATCATAGAACAAAGTAAAAAAAAAGGATGCCGAGTATAGGATAGATAGATGGTTGGAAGAATGTAACTGCAAATCGTGAACATGAAATTCTAGAAAAATGAAGAGTAGCGACAAAATCGACTTTTAAAAAACATATTCTAATCAAGCTAAAAAAGCATGAGGATAGCGTGGCTTAAACATGAAAGGGGATAAGTAAATTACTGTGTGTGTGTGTGCAGAGCAATGACATAGACAATTGATTGAGCAAGACAAGACCGGATAAGAAGAAGAAAGAGACATGTTTTCACAAAACTTTTGCGCATCAGCACAATAAATGTAAATGAATAATCGTGAGACATGGAGAGAGAGAGAGAGAAAGAAAGACAGAAAGAAAGAAAGAAAAAAAATCGCAATTGTCATTCATCAACATTAGTTTGTAACGATCATCTCTCCGAACTAACTGCAGGAAACATCGACATCTATGCATTGAATGATGATAAATATTTTCCTGTAGAACTCTCTTTTCATATTATTACTTGCTTGGCAAAGAATAATCTATTGTGTTTCACATCTCATAAAAAAAGAAGAAGAAAATGTTAATTCGTTAGTTTTTCAGCTACTACGTTCAATGATTCTATCTAAGAAAAAAACGTGAAAACAGCATTCATGCAATACAAATCCAATCGTTTGCTTATCCGTTTCTAATGCTATCTATATGCAAATGAATGGCGAGTTTCTTTCAAATTGTTTCCTTTGAGAAGTTCATCCTTATATATATATATATATACATTCAGATTTCATTAGAAATATATTCATAAAATATTCTAATGTAAGATAATAGGTCTTATCGCATTCATATTAAGCTTTACGAATAAAAAAGATTCTGCATAAACCAATTTTTGTTTTTGAAAATAATATCGATACAAACAATTTGTGTACGAACATATGCTAACCATTCATCTCGTTACTAATGAGTAAAACATAAATGTATTACTATTATTAGACTAAATTGAAAAACAATGCCAGCGTACTTTGCTTGTAGATCAAATTACATAATTTAGCAATATATCAATCATACATATATATTTATATAGTCTACAGTCTGCTGATAAAAATGGTCAATAGTCTTGTTTCTTTTGAAAAATATATTTGTCATATTGGGAAAATCTGAAATTAGATTATTCAGTACGAGAATTTTCAAGGAGTTAGTTTTATTCTTCGTATAATCTATATTTAGAAGTAGGTAAACATTAACCTTACAGAATCTATGCCAAGAATAAGAAAAATTACGTCCAAGTAATTTTTTAATATATAATATCAAGAAAAAGAATAGCCAACAAGAATTATTAGCTAAAAATTCACTACAACGTATAGGAAACCGATTAATAAATGGTAATGAAATTTGATCTGATCAGCATGTCTAAATAAACAAAATATATATATAATGCAATAAATAGATCATTCTCACTGTGGCGCAATTCGTATACATGTATTTCTACTAAGGAATCTGATACATGCATAGATGCAAAAAAAAATGAATGTACGGCATAGTAAACTGGAGGATTTTTCTACTGAATCTTTTATATGGACTGAAAATATTATGAATCAATCAATTATTTTAAGATTTATAATTCGATTATCTAGAACTTTTTTCGACTATATGAATGAGATGGACTGTTTAGAACCTTTGCAACAGGGTTTTGGGTGCGCGGTGACAAACTCTCACTTTCCTTTCATCGATTTGTCGTTTAGTTGTCATATTGATTAGACATCTTTTCATCAACTTCTTTCTACGAGTACAGACGTCAAGATACATTTTTCATATCATATGCCATAGTTCTTATACTTATATATATATGATGCTACATTTATATTGTTCTACGACAATTGATAGGAGCCAACACAACCCTTACCAAACAGTTGGCAAAGAGTGGTATTCCCATTTAATGCTTTTTTTTCTGTTGTAATAGCATATGATTCATGTGATACCTTTGACAGGAAAAATGATTGCAGCAACTATTGCATAAGCAGTTTTTTTTTAGAGCGGCAAAGCGATTTTCATATAGCTCAAGCCGGACAAAACAACTGCAAAGCGTATTTTTAAATTAATATTGAGTGTAATCTAGTAAAATTTATCATTCTGAGATGCCTATCAATTCATTTCGCTAAAAACAAACACCATTATTTTTTTATGAAAATTCATTTGAATTATCTAGAAGCATATACTATTTATAATATTAATTGATAGCTTGCTCAAATCAGAAAATAGTAAAAGTTAAAAATACTTGTTAAAGAAAACATGAAATATTTGATCAATAACTTTGAATACTTTGAGTATAACAAAATTAGCCTCAACAATACTTTTCAATTGTCGGGTATAGTGTTTGATTGGGTGAAACTTCTAAAAAACCTTATTTTTAGATGTTTATGATTTTTATATAATGGTCTTTATAGGAATATTTATGTTCAACATCTATACCACAGTCATTTCATAATGTTCCATGCAGCATTTAGTATTAATTAACAATAAATAACAACGTAGTACATCGGCATGATGAATATATTGAGAATCATAATGAATTTTTATTTTTTGATCTTTTGATAAAATTTGTCAATAAAAAATTTATGCTTTGCCACACAAATTATTTAATTATCAAATGTCACTTTTAACAATTTAGCTCTTCATATAGAATTTTAAAATTCTAGAAAAAAATTCCTTTCAGTTAGATGGTTAACAAAGCTGTTTTATTATTAAATGAGAAGTCATGTTATCTCAGATTTTTTTAAGATTAGTGACAAACTACTAATCTTACAAACATAATTGTTAAAGTATTTTTTTTATGAATTAGAAAGATGACTTTCTTAGCATAATGATAGTTCATTTTTATTTTATTTACTTGATGAAAGTAAATCGTAATTATGCATGTTTCAATCGTCTGTGGGGTAACTGAGTCGAGAATAGCTACGGAATAATTCTTTGGATGGAGTATCAGATATATTCAACAAGAATTGCAACCATTGACAATTAATTATATGAATGCAAATTTTGAACTTAAAAAGTAACGTTCAACGTAATATAGTAAGATCAATGAAATTCTGCTAGGAAACATACTGAAATGATCCTAATTCAAGTAAAATCATCTATGAACACCAATCGTTTGAGACTCTCCAGTCTCTTTAAAACTAATTCAACGAAATCAAATGTGCACTTCAAATGGTTTATCATTTTGTCTCGATCGATCCATCTCCTTCCTAAATTATAGTCGTATTTGGTTCCATAAGAAAAGAGATTTTCGAATGTTGTTACTATAACTAGTTGTATTGCATAAAAATTTGAAACTCAATTATAAGTAATTTGTCTTCGCTTTTCAAACATTTTTCACAATCTCGATAAACACAAGATCTAGAGTGTGTTTTATATTTATATTTTTCTAATATCTTTTTAAATATATCAAAAAACCTTACAAACTTCTGCAAATACAAAAAAATGCAATCGACACGACATGGTCTACGTAAGTATAAAATAATACCAGTTCAACCATCGATATATACGCAACGAAGACGCGAACATACATATATATATATATACTCATTCAACTACTATTAGCAATGCCTGTTAACTACTGGCACACATTGAGAGAAGTGAGCCCATTGATTCAAATAGAAAAGTAGAATATTAAAAAATAAAAGGAAAAAACTGAAGATGGTTTGTTTCAAAGCAATTAAATTGGATTGGTTAACATAAACCAATTGCATTTTTCTGTTTAAAAAGTGAGCTTTTTCTATTTAGTCGGATCAGATATTTTACGTTCTGTTGTAGTCACAAAAAACCTATCATATATTGAATCATTCTTTTCTTTTGCTTTCTTCTTTCTCAGTTATTTAAAGGCAACAATAGAAAAAAAGTTGAAACTAAACGACAAAATAGAATTTACTAAACGCAACTTACTTGAGCCTTTTATGTATATGTTAACAAGAAGATCTATTTGTTCAAGGTAACGTGACATTTTGTCTCTATTAACAAGTCTGATCAACCACTGTTCAATAGCAATATATTTATATACGTCTGTGTGTTAGTGATCACCAGCTGTTGTGCAAATATGTCGTACCATAAGCCTTATTTGAATATTTTTTCTATGTCATCGTTCGTTCTTATATTATTTATTTGTCAAAAAGAGAAAGTACACTCGACAGCAATCGTGTATTGATTTTAGAGGAAAAAGAAGTAAGAAACCATATGAGTAAAAAGTCAACAACTAATCACTCGTAAGTTGTATGCCGTAATTCTTTTCATTTCTCACTTGAACAATTCAGTAGCGTCTCTAATGCAAACCTAGGCTAAACTATGTTTTTGTATATCATGCTGATAATAGAAAAGTATATGTATTCTCATTATTTTGTCCTGGAGACAAGCATTCATATTAAAATAACCAAGTTTTAACAAGAACGGATTACAGTACAATCATCTTTACTTTTTTTTATTTGACAAGAGTATCTTACGTAATCCAACAAAAGACTAATGCAAAAGTTTTTTTTTCTCTTGTTTATTATGAATGAGAAACTTGAGACTAAAAAAAACCGTAATTAGTTCTAGAATACGAATTAAAGAAAAAGTCAAATTTTTTATTTTTCTACTGAAAACCTAAACATAAAATAATTTTGAAAATATTGCAATCGATAGTTAGTTGTTTCATACAAAAATGGTAAGCATCATCATTAGAGAACGTAACAGATGTTTCGTAAATTTTCTTTCTATTTCATACACATACTTTGAATTATTTTGGTTGCTTTTTTTTATAGATTTTTCTTGATTCTGAACTTGATTTTCAAGATATAGAATATGGAGTACAGTACTCGACCGCAACGAATTTCTTGTCAATATGGTTACATTCGTACAATACCTGGCACATTGAAAGCTATTCAATTTGTAAATAAACGTTTATTATTCTTTCTCACAAAGAAACAAAAATATATTTATACACTTTAGCTTTGTGATATCGTCGCTTTAATATTAGGTGCAGCAGCGCCAGCTATGAGTTATAGTGGCCATAAAGGATTTTTTACATTTGTTGCTGGATTCGCAATTATAATAACAACAATTCTTTTTCTATTGGCTTTAATAAATTTACAAGCTGTTTGTATACCAGATCGTTGGCTGTTGATTGTAAGTCATTTAACAAAAACAGAAGAATAAGAAAATCATATGATTAAATTCAAATTTAGGAAATGTTTTGGTGTGCATCTATTGCTTTACTATTTTTTATAGCAAGTATTGTTGTTGCAACAATTGCCAAATATAATGGTGTTTATGGAGCTGCAGCGGTAGATATTATAAGATCTTGTCTTTTTTTAAGTGGCCAATTTGTCGTTGTGTACTTATAGTTTTTTGGCTTTGCAGCTTTTTTTACTTATTTAGCCGATGCAATTTATCGTTTTCGATTAGTTCGAGCTGGTCCACGTGGTCGACACACAGAAGCATATATATCCAATACAACAACAACAACAACCGTTACTCGCCAACAACCAACTTATTAAAAAAGAAATGATCCAAATTAAGTATAAATATTTGAATGGCTGAATGATGACACTACTTTGATCTTATTACATTCGTTTTACTTTCATCTTTATATTTCAATGACATTGTCTCAAATATGTAGGTTTTTGTGGTAATGATAGTCATGACGATCTGAATTGATAGTGCAAATATGTATATACATAAATGTATACTTATATCGATAAATCTTTTGATTTTGACAGCTAATGGTGTCGTTTTCATTGGTGTTATCGTTAATCTTCTTTTCTTTGCATCTTTTTACATAATGGCAATAAACAAAAAGAAAGCTTTAAATTATTTAATTTCGACATAGAAAAAGAGAGTAGAATAGGTATTTGAAAAAGTTTTGTTTTTTATATAGTAGTCTTCAAATACAATTAATAAGCGTAAAAGCTATCATTTTCTCGTTAATAATAATCGCATTGATTATTGGTATTAAAATATACGACAAGTCATTTCGATTGACTTTTTTGTGAGAAGGTCAAGACTATCATCCATTTATTGAATGCATGGCACGTATCAAATGATCTACTATATGCACAGGTGGAAAATGAAGTCATTCTTTGTATTCAGGTTCAAGATTAATTCAACGACTTATATTCGAAAAGTAAGAATCGATTATGACTGAATTATTGTAAGGTCGTCATCCAGATTGTCTAAGACATTTGCCGAATATGTCAGTTACATAATACAGACATTCGATAAAAAGTATCTTAGCATTGCTAGACAGTATGTTTGAGTTCAGATTTATAAATTGCCTTGGCTATTAGAAAGTAATGTTTAGATTCAAAATAAACTTGATCCACTGAAGTCTGTTGTAATATTTTGCACTTGATGGTCTTTTGTGTAGAATATATGGGATGCAGCAATACATTTTCGTCCTACTTCAACAGTGTACAAAGAAAATATTCTCCATATCAAATTGTTTATATGAAAACCCTTTCTTTCAGACTATCTTTTGTCATATCAGTTTATAGTTATTATGTATCAGAATGATACTCAACAAGTTAAGTATATTCTCCGGTGATAGTATAAGAAATCATATTCGTAGATTGATGAGTTCTTTGTTTTTCTTCAGTTAATTCTTTTCTTAGACATAAATTGTGGATTGTATAGTTTTGTACTCTGAACTGCAAACAATAACTTGAAAGTCATATGAGCAACTACAATATGTGTTTTTTACGCGAACCTCATCTAAATATAACGACAGCTTTTTTTTCTCTCTCTCTCTCTCTATAAGAACAAGCTAGTTATTACCAACCGAGCACGAGAATTTTCCTTGAGATTCCTTTTATATATGTCTAAGTGACAAAAACCATATGCCATGCATTTGCTGCTTGATCTAAGAATAATATATTAGAACAAAAAGTATAGGATTCTTTCAACTGGTTATATCGGATTGAGTCGGCAGCAACACCAAGAACAACATTTCCTTCTCTAGTTCGCCACATTTTCTTAGCCTACTTGTATTGACTTCGCCAAGTGTAATATTACATATTTATAATATACAACTGTTGAGTTATAACTACAATTTTTAACTAAAACTAAAAAGTAATGTGTACTTCAGCGCGATTACGATTTGCAGCAGTTGGCTCACTGGGCTCACTTGAGTATGCAAAATCATTTATTAATCAACCGCGTGGTATAGCTTATCGAGCATCTGATGCTTTATTATTTATTGCTGATTCAAAAAATGAACGTGTTGTTGCATTTACCGAAGATAATAAATTGGCTAAAATTATAAGTAATTATGGATGTAAAAATGGTTTAGCTGTTATGAACAATGATCAAATTGTGATGAGTGATGAACTACAAGTTTTAATATTAAATAAAGATCTTCGTTTAATACGCACAATAGCTTGTGATGATATTGATGCTGGTTTAACAAATTATCAAGGTATTTGTGTCGATAAACACGATTTAATTTATGTATGTGATCAAGCTAGTCGACAAATAAAAGTCTATGATCCAAAAAGTGGAAATATTGTACGATTTTTTGGCAACAAAAATTTGTTTAGTTCACTTGCTTATTGTGTATCAACAAATGAACATATTTATGTTACAGATCCACAAGGTTATATTGAGATTGATCAAAACAAGAAACGAAATTGTATGTTTTTTATTATTTATTTAGGTTCATGTGTTCATAAATTTACACTTGATGGTATATATGATCAACGTTTTGGTAGTGCAAAAACAGCAGATTTTCCTGAAGCACTTTCAAGTCCTCGCGGTATAACTGTATTTCCAGATACACAACAATTGTTAGTTGCTGATTCACATAATGATCGCTTAGTAGTTTTCGATCAAAATGGACAATTTCAACAATTAATTACAAATGGAATTGAATATCCTGAATCATTAGCAGTTAATACAAAAGGAAATATGTTTGTTGCTATGAATGATCGTATTGGCATATTTGCTCGGGAACAATAAGCAGACTTGCTTTGACTGTCATACTTTGAAAATATATTAATCAATAGATGAGTGAGATTTCATAGCAAAAATAAATAAGCTATAATCTCAAAAGTTTCTGCATAACTCAAGTACGTAATCAATATCAACAGCAATAATGAATCTAGTTACTTTTCATAATAACTTTAATTATAGAAAGAACTAACTCATACTATTAACATATCTAATATTAACTGACCTTCGATGTTACATAATTCGAGCATCTACTCATTTGTATCAGCTGTCTTGATTAGAGAATATGTCTTTCTATCGAATACCCGACATATGCCAGAGTCAATATATGAGACCTTCATTCCACTTGTAGTTTCTTTTTGTGAATCTCTCTTGCCAACAAATTAATAACTGTATTATACCACAACAAGAAGAAGAAAACGACAATTAATGAGATGAAAAGTTCCATAGATAATGCATATAATTGAAAAGCCATAAAGTAAACATAAAACCAGGGGCGAAATCAGGAACTTCTGGCAAGTTTTTTTCTTCTTCTATTTTTTCGTTACTAAAACCACAAACAGAAATCATATAGACATAAGTAGGCTTCGAAAATCATATTTTGATTATGACTATCACCTATAATGATAAATCTTCAGTTCATTGATCGTTTTCTATATAAGTTATTGCATGAAATACTGGTGTTTTATTTGATTTAACACTAATAATTAGTAAGCAAAAATGAATGATGCTTCGTATCATGATGACATGATTTATTCGACAATAAAAGTAATATAAATGATTTCATTTACCAGTGAAAGCATTCTACAATATTTTCTAGTTCTTCGTTAATTTTTATACAAAGAAATCAGCTAGTAATTGTGTTAACGAAAGTTCAATTCAATGCATGCCGATATCGATGCCACAAACATAATGGTAGAAGAAAATAGTCTAGCTTGCATGTTAAGCTTTTTTTTCAAATGTTTACATCAAATGAATTATCTCATAAAGATACGTGACTAGCATTTTATAAATTAATAATTATCAATATCAATTTAACATTCTTGTCAAAGCAACAATATGAAAGCGAGAAATCGAAAGGAAAAACTTTCAAGATATCTCGAAAAAGTCAAGATACATATTTTATATGATCACTTGCTAAAAGAAACTCTTTACTTCTGAGATGTAAGCACTTTTATTTTTACATATCATGTTGCTTTGGAACTATAATATTTATTAAGCGTATAAAATTCTTTTATTATAAATATTTTGGCGATCTTTACAAGCAATACGAGTATATTTACAAATGAGATGATTCATTATAATTATATAACACTTATCGTAGCCTCATATGTCGAGAATTACTTTCTCTATTAATTAGGATATCCTCAACATATGAATCGTAAATTCAAAATTAATAAAATAAAATCAACACTATAAATATCCTAAGATTGAGAAGTAACTGTATTGAGAAACTTTATCAATCAAGCATATAAAGTGTCATGACTATTAAATGCAATTCTGTGATCCTTTAATCTTTCTATTTTTTTCCTGTTTCTTTTAGCCTTGGCATGTTATTACTGCAAATATATACTTTCAGCTCTAATCAACATTTCCCCCGTTCAAATAGTTACTTGTTTGGCCATGGAAACGTTGGATCAATGCCGATTCGACAGTTAATTCTCACCAAATTACTTGTCCTTATTGATGTAAACATTGAATTCTTGAATCGTAATCCAAATCGTATAATTTGTCTTGAAATAAAGTTAGAATCGATTCTAGTTAATAAAATATTTATTATCATATATTGTTGAAAAGAATGTGTATTATTATTATCAGCTTTGACTGAGATTCTCTTGAATTTGTCTTGACATGCACTAAAATGAGATCTTTACTGGATAGGAAATTTTTATCTAATTGCTAATTTATACTCATAGAAATAAAAGTAAATTTACTAAATTTATGACGCATTTACAATGATTAGAGATTCGTTTTCATTTCGGTGTGCTGGAAAAATGTCGAAAGGAAAAATGTCGAAAACAGAAAAAGTGAAGAAAAAACATCGAAAGGAAAAATATCGAAAACAGAAAAAGTGAAGAAAAAACATCGAAAGGAAAAATGTCGAAACGTACATATTAATGTGGAAAAATGTCGAAAGTGAAAAATAAAAAAATAATGATGCCTCAAGCGTATGTTGGTTCTAATTACATATAGTTCATTGTTTTTCCTTATAATTTTACTAGTGCAGAATTTTAGCCGCTGTTGATAGCGATGACTAACTATTGATACAAGTAAAATAAAGGAGTTGAATAAAGTAACAACAAATACTAAGTATTGGATATGCACTATTAATTATTGTGCAGCTAAAGCGCATTCTGATTCAAATAATCGATTGATGAAAACTGTTTGCAATCATAGTCATCTTCCAGGAAAAGAAAAACTTGAGGTTCGTGAAGCTCGTGAAAAAATAACATATTTTTAAAAAATTTTCTCACCCTTAACATTTCAGCTTAATTTCATACAACAAAACATACACTATATTATTTACGATTCTCTAAAATATTAACTGGCAATGTTTCATGTCAATATAATTTTTTCGACATTTTTCCTTTCGATATTATTCCTCTTCCTTCTTTCGGCATTTCTACTTTCGACATTTTTCCTTTCGACATTATGACGGCCAACCTTCATTTCTTGCTCGCGAAGATACCTATTTCAAGTAAATAGTTCAGTCTTACACAACATGACTCAATCTTGAAACCTAAGCGTTTTACAAACAAAAATATTGATATGTGAACGTTTGGAAAAACTTCTATAGATTTGGATGTACTTAGATCAACAAATTCAATCTATTTTTCAAATAAAAGATAATAAATTTTCTTTAAATTATTGCTGCCACCTATGATATCATGTATCAGTCGATTATTCATTGTCAAATCTCTACAACTTACTCATGTTGAAAAAACATTTATATAATTGAGTTTCTTACTCAATTTCATTCGTTCTTATAGTTGTATATAGATTACTGTTGGTATGTGAATCTCATCGAACCATAGTTTTTCAGACATATAACTGTTCGAATGATCATCTATCGGCAATTAGGTAGTAGGGGACCATGTCGCAGTCATTGATATTGCTCAATGTTTATTCTAGCATAATTAATACTAAAGATTTTTCAATACTATTACCGTTCAATACAACATGATAGCGTTATTATGTTATGCTTTAATATATTTATATACCGAGCTATTCAAAATAAATGATATCACACTATGTGATTGTAGATGAAGTTAATTTTTCTGAATTCGAGACTTTCAAATAAATAAAAAAGACAAAATTGTTTTCTGTGGTATGAAATGAATGCTCTTTTCCAATGTTCCATCTCACGTCATGAACATTGAATATGTATCTCTTTGTTTTCATCCATCAAGCACAAGTGTGCATGTTAACAAAGAAATAACGACAACCCAGCAAACACACGCACACATAACAATAACCAGTAGGAAAAAAACAAAAAAAATCGCATCACCACAAAAGAAAAACAACGTGGACAAATAGTTGCTAACAATATGAGCACAACTGTGCAGTATCGGAGAAGCAAATAGAAAGATATGAAGAGAAAAACAAAAAACAAACTGAATTCATAATAACAATGCTCACTGCATATCTTTCTCTCACATCGAGTGATTGAATAGAAAAGTACGCATTAAAAAAATACATCAAGATTATTACGAAGGTTCGCCGGATGATGCTAAGGAAACTTGTCTTTGAAAATGATGTTTTCAATGCTTTTGATATTGTTCATCAGATAAAAACGATCGTGATTTTGATATCGATGAAGGTGAATAATCGCTTAGACATTTCATATGACAAAGATTTTTATCCAATTTGTTTTTCTTTTTCTTTTCTTTATGACCAGTACTTAATGACGATGATAAAACAGGTGATTGTTCATCAGTAGAAGTTGGTTGAGATAAAGAAAGAAAAGATTGAGATAATTCTTCACTACGTTGTTTCTTTTTCATTGGTTGTTCAAGTTCAGAGGAATCATTATTTTGATTATATGAATTCGAATTAGATGTGAGTTCATTTAGTTTTGGAGACATTTTCGTATTTGATTTGATTGATGACGTACTTGAATGTGCACTCGATAATGATAATAGAGAACTATTAATACTACTTATTGATGCTGGAGAATTCGGTGTTGAAGTCGATGATTTATTCATAAGTTCCGAAGGATTCAATAATAATGGATGATTATTCCCTGGATTTATCTAAATCATGAATGGTAATGGAAATTTAATACCATGAGAAACAGTAAGAATATTTTTTTCCCTTCGTTTTCATAGATGCCAGTATGGCCTATTTAAACGTACTTCTGCTTTATTAGAAACATTTGCATTAAAATATTTTTCATTTTTTCCGCCTTAAAAGGAAAATTCTGAAACAACCACCTACTACTGATATATCTGTTTCTCAACTTTTTCGTGTGATCATTCTTTCTAAACTCTTTTCGTATATTATTAATTTCTAATCTCTCTCGTTTTCATGAAAGAATGTAAAAATAAGTAAAAACTATGACCGGTGTCAACTGTACTGTAAAAAAGAAGTGACAACCTCTGTGAACGTGTATCTTTATTCTTTATTTTTCACAAGTTTTTTATTTTTATATTAGTGTTCTACAATCATGCACGTTGTCCTTTGTAAACTCTAGGGGAACAATAAAAATTATATATTGAAAAAAAAGAAAAAGTAAGAATATATATTACCTGATTTGATTGACAAATAAGTTTAGGAATTTGTTGTATGATTGGTTCTTGTTTTTCAGCGAACAAATTGCCATTACCATTAGTAGTCGATGCACCGTTGGATGAATCAGTCTTAGATTTTGTATGTCCATTTAGTCCATCTACTAGACAATATTTTATAACAATTAAAATGAGATCAAATCCATTCATTTGTAATATCTTCTCGGATATGTCAGCAGGGTTTCTATAAACTCTGATGATGTACAATCAAATGGTTTTCGAATGAAAATTAGATATAAATTAGCAATAGACTTTTTAATTCTTTTGTCATAGATTATCATCAGCTCATAGATAACGATAAGAAACTTAAAATTAAACTTATATCTATGAATCTGATAAGAAATTCGAATCGAATTGATATTCATCACGTCCTCCGCTTGTTTCTTTTTTTTTGTATTAACTTAATTTCCAAAAATAGTACAGGTGTATCTTTGAACATCGAAAATCAGCCAGATCGAGAAGATACTTATACTGTAAAACTTTTATAGTTACAAAAATTCATTCCAATAAGTCGAATTCATAAAAATATTTATATAATCATTACAGTAAGTTGTTTAAAAACCTTTTTCACATACTTTGTCGAGGAAGATTTTGAACATGTATTTGACGTGGAGTAAAAAGCTTTGAATGCGCTGTGATCGTATTGAATTGTTTCTCATTGTTATTCAATTTTCCATTTGGGTAGACATTTTTACTTGTTATTGTTGTTGCTGTTGTTATTCCATTTGTTAAACTAGTCGTTAATGATGGTTCCGTTTCTTTAATATAACATAAAATGTAAGCTCCATATTGCGTTAAAACTTGATTTAAATCACATTGTGTCATTGTTGTATCATCTGCTTTATACCATCGGTTATTTGGTGAGCGTACATATGAATAATAATGTCCTGAATGCATTGATAATCCAACATGAACTAAAACCGCGTATAAACGATAATTTAATGATGGATCATTTGCATTTTCTTCACTCATGTATGATTTAACATTTAAATATTCTGGATAACGAACAAGATGTGATAATTTATGTGAATTTTTTCCAAATTCAAAGCGTTTTAAATTAATTAATAAAATTTTTGATGCTTTATGTAATGTGTAACGTTTCACAGCTGGTACTAACTGTTTACATTTCGTACAACGATATAGATTTTCACCTGATAATGTTTCGCGACAAACAAATTGCTGTAATGATTGTCTTAAATCCGAATGATTGCGTACACCAACAATCCATGTATATTGAACTTCAAATGTATCCGATGTATGACGACAACGTGAACATATCACACGTGAACGTAAGACAATACCAAATAGATCGTGAAGAAATGTTTGTGAATGACACAATTGTTCATATGATGTACCTGATGATGGACGTAAGCGTTCAGGTGGCTGAGATGAACGTAGACATGCTTCAATAATTTTATCAATTAAACAAATTAAAAATTCACTAGCATCTTCTTGGCGACCGAATCGAAAGGTTTTTGATATATCTTTTATACGTCGTACAAGATTATTTGGATTTGCAGGACCTGTTGATGATGAATAGGAAGTTTTTGAATGTATCAATTTAACAATACGTTCAGCTTCACAAAATAAACAAAATTGTTTTTCTAGTTTTATACGACAATGTTGATGATGAGAATTTGACAAAAGCCATTGAACAAGTGGCGGAGTGTTGGCTAAACATTGTAATGATGCATTTATAAAGCAAGTGTTACCTAGATTAACTAAGCCAGAACCACGATCTTTTAATAATTCCCAATTCATCATTAACGATGAATTTTTATCATTTTTATTTGTATTTTTACTATTACTGTTAGTAGTAGTAGTCGAAGCAATAGTATTATTTGATGGCAAACATTTATTTACTGATTCTTTGTTTTCAAATGATGTTAATACGATATCATTAGTGATTAGTACGACAAGATTTGAATAACGTTTACGTAATTGATCTAACGGATTTTTTTTATATGGTTTAAATAATAGTTTTTGAGTTAATATTGTATGACGCTTATGATTATTTGCAATATTTTCATTATTTAATGATTTCTTACAGAAAGATGATTCTGTATGTTTTAATAGACGTGAAGATAAAAAACGTCCACAAACGTCACCGAGATCCGGTTTTGGCATGATCTAAAAACAAAGTATAACAGATCATATATTTTCAATTAAAATACATTATGAAATATCAAATTCGAATACGCTAAATCTATTTAAATATTGATAGTAAAGTATTATCACTGCAGTAGGAGGCGACACAGGTTAATAACGTGACATGAGTACACACAAACAAATGCATACAAATAATATAAGTAAGACGCAATTGTAAACGAAAGGCTAATAGAAACCACGAAGAATACAAATATTTATTTTCTATATCAATGAATACGGTAAATAAAGATTAGAGAGAGAGAGAGAGAGAGAGAATCTTCAATTTCGTTGAATTTTATTTCGAAAGAAAAAGTTAGCAATACGATATTTAATGCTACGAGCCTATATTGAGATGAATTGGTCGAAAAACGACCCTGATAATCATCATTTATCTTTGTAAAATACTAATAATATAATAGTATATTTTCTTCGAAAATAAAAAACAAATTATAAAAATAATCGTTGGTGATCAAATAAAAAAATTGTTGTGCAAAAAAAAAGAATTCTTTAGCGTCCTCTATCATTCTCACCAATCGAAATGTTTTGTTTCTGTATCTTTCACAACTGTGGTAAAGTTGTTGAAACATATGGATTCAAATAAAAACGTAACAAGTTTCAATCGCTTAGAAGCATCGATTCAATATTATCTTGATCGTATAACGCCGTATACTAATAGTCGATGGATATTCAATTTATTTTTATTATTTATTTTTTTCTTTCGAATCATTTATATCGAAGGTTTTTATATAATAGCATATGGTCTTGGAATATTTTTACTTAATCAATTGATACTTTTTTTAACACCCAAACTTGATCCATCATCACGCAACACTGATGAAGATGGTGATGAATTAAATTTGCCAACAAGATCAACGGATGAATTTCGACCATTTATTCGTCGTTTACCAGAATTTAAATTTTGGTACATAATGTTTAAAGCATTAATAATTAGTTTAATTTTAACATTATTCTCAATATTTAATATTCCAGTCTTTTGGCCGATACTATTAGTGTATTTCTGTTTTTTGTTTCTATTTACCATGAGACAGCGTATATCACATATGATACAACATCGCTATGTTCCATTTACATATGGAAAAATTAGATATACTGGAAAGAATACCGGACAACAGCCAACAAAATTTTCAACAAACTGAAGTTTTTTTTCAATATTTTCTGTTTCTCTTTTGCTATTATTATAAAATGAACAACTTATTAGAAAATTATTGCAATATTATCATCTAACTTGAAAGAGTCTTTTTTGTTTGCTTGAAGATTGATATAAATATTTATATAAACGTACCATGGGAATTCATAATTTAGCAAAATTAATTGCTGACCAAGCACCAGCAGCTATCAAAGAAGGAGAGATGGCAAATTATTTTGGAAGAAAAATTGCTGTTGATGCGTAAGTCATGACTTTCTGATGAAAGCTCTTTGATATTCAAAAGGAGAATATTTAATAAAAAAGTGAATTCTGTTTTTCATTATTAAATATCTAAATTACATCCTATGGACTTAATTCATATGTGATGGAAACTAAAGATGCATTCAAAAATTTCGTGAATCAATAGAATAGTTTCTTTAAGAACTTCAGTTGATATTTGATGTCGTACACGATCTAAATAATATTGTTTTGCAAAAATAATGGTTTTTAATAATATTATTGAAATGTATTTTATTGGGGAAAATAGTAGAACTACTAAGTTCTAAACATGAATATCATTTTCAAGAAAAAGAATCTCACAGTAATATTCAACCTCAACAGACAGTTAACTGAAATGACTGATAGATATACGATGTCAAAGATATACAACATTATTGTTATTGAAGCTCCTACAGCTTTTCAACTGCGTGTATACAAAAGAAATATGGCTGTTGTAATTTGAAAAAAATCTAACAAGCCATAATGAATGTAAGAACAATTAAAACAAACTAAGCGTAATAATGATTTCATCGCCCAAAATTTATGAAAAGAAATTATTGTTTCACCCTTCAATAAATATTTTATTTTGAAATAGCTGATATTATAGTATTATCATTCGTAAACACAGATTTCTAGTCAAGTATAGCTTCTTGAAGCGCTCTCGTGTACACATACGAATTGTGACGAAAAATGCTTTAGTATTTAGTTCTATGATATTATTCTTTGAAGGTTTCAAAAGGATCTAATTTTTATCAATCTATAAGTGACGTTGATTGTTTTTCTATTTTTAAAATAATAATAAAATGATGGTGAAAATAGTGAATTGTCGATATAACGAATAAAGAAAGTCATGCGAGATGTCAAAGCTAAATGAAATATTGATGGAGTGAACAGAATATCAGTATAGAATCGGCAGAATCTTCATGATTTTAAATGTCTTCAATAGCCAAGTTAAACTGAAAGATGATTTTACAGTTATTATGATATGATAAATAACAACTAGTCAACGATTCGTCTGAAATAAGGCTAACTTGTTATACGGAAATAAAAAAACGAAGCAAATGATAAATAATCAAGTTTAGTCATAATTGTGCCGTGCAGTTTAAATGCTAAGAACAAAAGTCATATACTATCGCGCAAAACGCAAAATTTGTATCTATTGTAGAAAGATAGATAGATCTGATAATTTTAATTGACGTCTATTGACAGATGATGCAACAATTTCTGTCGGAAATGCTTTTCGACAAATGAAACTTTACAAATTAAATAGTTCAAAAACATAACTATATTAATCCACGAGACATTGTCTTTAAATTTCGGTAGAATCAATCATAACATAATTCTGAATAAGCCACTAACAGGCGCGTTCATCTCGGATCATCGATACGATAGCACACTGACATTGCTACACGATACAAGTATTCTTGTAATTAGTTGGAATCTATTGACCGACAAAAAGTGTATAGCTAACTAGTCTTCTATTCAGAATTACACTTAATATTTGATAGATGAAAGATACCGAGTTATTATTTCATAAATTGTAATCTATACAACTTTTAACGGTGTCCAACATATTCCAACACTATTGTCTAATTACAATAGACAAGCGATTTTAAAGCTAAACCATAACAAACATTTTAAAATTCTATGTTGACTCTACAGTATTGTATTGCTTCAGAATAATGTCAGTGGAATCAGTACTATAAAAAAAACAACAATTTGTACAAAAAGCTTCCATAGTTTATTTCTGATAAATTTTCTTTATTCGATAGTTCTATGTCGATTTATCAATTTTTAATTGCTGTTCGACAAAATGGTGAAAACTTGACTAATGATAGTGGTGAAACAACAAGTCATTTAATGGGCATGTTTTATCGTACAATTCGTATGATTGAAAATGGTATCAAACCAGTTTATGTATTCGATGGAAAACCACCACAAATGAAATCAAAAGAATTAGAAAAACGTGTTGAACGACGTACTGAAGCTGTAGCAGAGATGTCTAAAGCTGCTGATGCTGGTATATGAATTCCATTTAAAATTCGATTCTTCTCATAGAACAATCATACTGCATATTTAGGTGATGAAGAAGCATTTGATAAATTTGCTCGTCGAACTGTTAAAGTCACTCGCGAACACAATGAAGATTGTAAACGATTGCTAAAATTAATGGGTGTACCGTATGTTGATGCGCCAACTGAAGCTGAAGCGCGTATGATTTTGTTTTCGTTTTCTTTTATCTAATGATTATTCTATTTAAATTTATTTAGAATGTGCAGCACTTGTTAAACAAGGAAAGGTTTATGGAGTTGGAACCGAAGATATGGATGTAAATAGAAATTTGCGTTTGTTTTTCGTTCACATTTTATTTTATGTTTAGGCTTTGACATTTGGTGCTGATGTACTTGTACGTCATTTAACATTTAGTGAAGCACGGTTAGTTATATATAGATATAGAAATTTTACAGACAATAACTCTTCGGCTATGAATTAATAGGAAAATGCCTATTCGTGAATATTCATTGACGAAAGTTCTTCAAGGTTTAGGGATCAATTTTGTAGAAGTATGAATATTGTTTAATTATTGTGGATATCATTGATATTATTTCATTTAGTTTACTGATTTATGTATTTTACTTGGTTGTGATTATTGTGATTCAATAAAAGGTATTGGGCAAAAACGTGCACTTGATTTAATTAAACAACATCGCAGTATTGAAAACATTCTAAAAAATATTGATACAAAGGTAGATTTAATTAATAACTATTTTAGCATTGTTATTTACTGTTTGTTTTCTTTTGATAAAATAGAAATATGGTGTACCTGATGATTGGGCTTATGAACAAGCGAGACAACTATTTAAAGAGCCTGACGTTTTACCAGCTGATGCAACTGATGTTCGTCATTTGTTTTTTCGTTGATTAATTTTCGAAAAATTTCTCTATTGAATTTCAGTTAAAATGGATTCAACCTGATGAAGAAGGTCTTGTCGTATATATGGTTAATGAAAAAGGATTTTCGTAAGTAAAATTTCGACGAGCTACTTTTTTTCTGGGAAATAGAAAGAAATATCACGCCAATAATATACAGAAAGATTCATAGAAAAAATATAAAACGCCTTAGGTAATCACTGGAAGTATTCCATCACAAATGTTCTTAAAGATAGAATTCATTGACTTAATTAAGTATGAATAAAGTTTTTGGTTATCTTTCAATAAAAATATTGTTAGAGCAATGTGTTAATTGAAACTGAGCGATAAATATTGATTTTATCCAGGGAGCCTGTTTTTTAATAACAGACCCTTTCTTTAATAACATCAGTAAATGTCCTCGTGCAAGAGAGAAAGATGGCTTCTTTCTGTTGTATTTTAAAGTTCGCACCTTTCAGAAAGACGTCTTCTGTTCAGTGTCATTTATATTCAATAAAAGCGGATTTATTTGAGGAATTTAAGAAGATATTTTTTAGGCAATTAAAAAATCAGAACATAATATTGATCTCATTCTATGAAGAGTTGCAAAGTAAAAATCTTAATAACTGAACAAAGTTTTATATTTATTTACAAAAATAAAGTTCCAGCTTTACGAGAAATGAATTGACTCAGAAGAGTCTTCTCTTGTTCGAAAAGATCTAGTACATTTTAGATTTGTTCGGCTAAGGAAATAATCACAAGACTCAGTGGGCCTGTGTATTAAGATGAGACATACAAAAGTACTGTTACCTTCGTCTGTTAACACTCGATTGATCGGTTTTAGTGCAAATGTATAGTATTTGATAAACAACTTGAAACACGTATTAAAAGGAGAGGAAGCGAATTTTTGAGAAGTAATAGTCAAACATAGCTAATGAATATATAAAGCGGACTTGTTTGATAATTGAATTAGTGTTTAGAGTCGTAATAATGTCTAAATAACAGAAACGGAATATACGTATCAATGAAAAAAAGCAAGACTATATACAAATAGAAGGTCAGCAAAAAGCCTAAAAAAATATTTCTGCTTGTATGATAGGAATAAATTAGATCGATTGTTTGTATGAGCGATCGATTCTCCTTCAAAAACAAAAAGACTGTCGTTCTCTAGAAATTTTATGCTTGACTTATTTTGGATGAGTATGATGCAACTAAAAAAATACATATGAGAAGCACATTTTTATTTCCGAGAATCTATCTTGATAAATTATTTCCCAGTTATTTGAAACAATAGTGAACGTGTATTTCAGTTTTACAAACTTGGCTTCTGGATTAATATTAATTAATCGAAAAAGATAAATGAATTATTTACAACTAACTAAAAAATAATATAGAGACGACAAAACAGAATAATTAGAATGTTTTTAAATCATTTTCAATGATTTGAATGATTAAGTTTCCGGTAAAACTGTAACCATTTCATCTAGAACTGAAATGAGATCGCCATTTTTGGATCGTATGAGTTGAATAAGATCTTCATTTTTATCATCGAATCCCATTGCTTTCATTTTTTCAACGCAATCTTGTATTGCTTGTTCTGATGTCGATGATGCTGTTGATAGATTATTTGAATCATTTTCCGATGTTGCTGGTAGATTTGTGGCAGTAGAACGAAACATTGTTAACCACGATGTAATGCCTTTTTGTTGTTCATTATTTGCAGTTGAAGGTTTTGGTATAGTGCTAGATTCTGGTGGAGGTGCATTTTCATTTTTTGATGTTTCTGGTTGAGTATTTGCTGTTGACGATGCATTTTCATCGACACGATAATCACAATCAATACCAAATGGTGATAATGCTTGTTGTAAATATTGACCCACATTTTCAAGATATTGTTTCGAATTTTGCATGTGTGCTTGTGTATTCGATTTAATATTATTAATATGATGCTGCATATGTGTACGAAATTGTGTTGCGTGTTCTCGATTGGGTAACCATTGAGGAATTTGTGTTTGAATTTGCTCGATAAACTCAGGATTTGGTATTAATGGTGGTGATAGCATATGACGAAAACGACGATTATGACTATGTGGGCCATACGGATGATAGAGATTTCCTGGTTTTGTTATTTTAATCATATTATGTTCTGAATGAACACTAGCTGCTGAACATTTTTCACACAAGTCATAATTCGGACACACAACACATTTATAACGAGAACCAACAACAGAACCTTTGCAATTATCACATTCAACGCCAATATGACATTCTTTATTATTTGCATTTTCTCGTTCATTTATTGATTGGCGAGGAGTAACGAAAATTTTAAGAGTATTTGAATCTTTATTTGATGATATAGCTGAACGTAATTCATCATCGGAACTGAATGTAATACGTTCATTTTCTTCATCAACATATTGAAGAGTGAAACCATTTAATTGAATATCAGGTTGATATGTAGCAATTTTAGTACATAACTCTTGATGAGTATTATTATTTGGTGAAATATCGATCTAGAACCATTGAAATTTCAATGAAAATAGTTTATTGAACATACGTATGCTACTTACACCAAATCGACGAATTTCTGGTTGTTGTTGTTGTGTATAATACACTTTTACATAATAAGTAGATGCCATCTGTAGTATTTTCTTCCTTATGAGTACGATCAAGTAAGGTAGAAACTATGAATGAGAATGCAGCTTCGTCGGTAATATAAATGTGTACTTTATTTAGAAAGAGAAAAACAACGAGTAGAATGATTCATCAGATTGAGAAACATGGAGAATGCCTACGCAACTTTATTTAGCAATAAATCAGCCAACGAGTAGCGTACGTCAGTTTTCGTGACATCATCATGTTCTTTTTTTTATCATTCTTTCTTGTTCTTTTCGTCTGTACGATGCTTTGACAGAAAAATGTAAGGAACAAAAAAAAACAGAACAATGTAAACTACAGGAACCAATTCCATTTCTAAGTGAGAAAGCAATCAATTGATAAAAGCCATCTACATTATAGATGTCCTACAAATCTTTTAAACCATATAAATACGACAAGTCAATTTTAAAGTACCTGAGAAAAACTGTTTCGTTACTATTCTAGTGAAGATCGTATTCGTAATGGTTCAAAAAAACTGATGAAAGCTCGATCAACAACTCAACAAGGACGACTTGATACATTCTTTTCAATATCTCGCAACATTTCGACAGCAGCAAAAACAGTTAAAAAACCTGTAAGTTATTAGTTTTTTTTATAGATAAATAAAATGTTGTAAGCATCTTGTTCTCCATTTGATATTTAGGAAAGTCCTGTGACTATGAATAAAGGTCTTAAACGTAAAGCTGCAACAGCCGACAAGAAATCTAAAAGCAAAGCTGGTGCAGGTTCAGCTAAAAAGTCAAAAGTCAAATAAGAACAAACATGAACAAAAGACACTTCTCCTTTTATTATAATATTTCAGAAACTCCTTATTCTTGTATTATATTTTTTTCTTTTTTTGTTACTGTTCATAAAATCTGTGCTTCATTTTGTGTCATGAAATCATTTCCAATGTTGAGATGAATATGAAAATGAAGAAAGATACCGAAAAGAAATTAACTTAAAATTATGTTTTGTAGACAAATATAGAATAGCCTTCTATAATGTCTTCATCTAATTCAACGATATACAAGCAAGTAAGTGAATAAACTCCTATTTGTCCTATACAATAAAATTCAGGAAATAATCAAACGCTGATTTTTTCTAAAAATTTAGATTCAAGCAACCAACGTTTTACGACATGAACTTGAAACATTGAAATCAGGACGTGTAAGCAATTTTTTGTTTCCACTATGCTTTGAGAAGTTATCCCAGCTAAATGTTTTTTAGAAAGTCTATCTTCAACAACCAGGTAGTTTGGTGTTTTTCAAAAGCGATAAAGATACTGCACTCAAAAACTGCCAACGTATGCACTATCTTTTCTATGTTTCAAAATTTATATGTATACCGTTATGTCTGATTATAGAAAATCTGCAATCTCTTCAGCGTCAACATGAACAACTTCAAAATAAAATGGACCTCAGTACATAGAGAAAATGATGCATATCTATCAGTCTTTCTTAGCTAACTATTGAAACATTCAACTTTCTATTGTTAATAAATTCTCGTTACTGTTATGTCACTGACAATTTCCTCGTTCGATAAAATGTGTGAAATGTCTTCATTCTATCGCACATTCATACGATGATTATCTATTCTTTCTAACACAACAATTTGTTCATGATTCTCAGCTATCATTAATCTTACATCATTACGTCAATTTGGATTCAGGACAAACCGTTTTCCTCA